ATATATATATTCTAGGTTGATATGTTTTATATATAATGTGTGTGAGAAAATGACGGTAGCTTAAATACTATGTATATAAATAATAACAGTTCTTTCCACCTGTAATGTTAGTCATGAGAAACAACTATTTCAGTTTTAAACTGCATACCAAACAAATGTTGGTGTCCTCCTTGACTACAACATATAAAACATATCAACCTAGAACCAGCATCTGCAAATAAGCCTGAGTAAATCTGATGAGAGAGTACGACCAAAAGGGATATGACTAGAAAGCTGTCCCGTGGCACTGTAGCCCCAGGCCAGCCTCTCAGCAATCCACTCTTACAAAGATGGCTTGTTTGACAAAATAAAAAGGGCACTCAGTGGGGAGGAATGACACTGTGAGGTAAATTAAACCTGACTGCTGCATGTTTTGACAGACTTTTTCTGCTAACCTTTGCCGTGGGAGGTCTCGATTATCCATGTGCAATTCAGGTTATGTGGGTAGAAGTCAGGAAAGCCGGGAGACAAGATGGTTCCTGTGTTACCCTGGATATAACCTCCACACAGTGCTGTTGACAAGGGCACATAAATGATAGATATAAATGAGACACAACAACTGTGAGACAACTTAACACATCCTAGAAAAAAAGGTGTCTGTGTATTTTACTGCGTGGTAAAATGCATTTTACAAGTGCCCTTCAAGAAAGAGTAAAAAGAAGAGAGTGGCATTATCAATATTAGTAGAGTGGGTAAAAATCATTGGTGTCCTCAAATATAAAAGTGTTTACAGATAATGAAATAAACCTATAGGGTAGGGTAACTTATGTACATATAAAACATTTCCAGATGTATGAATCAGAAACTTAAAGTAATAATCACTTAAGAAAAAGTTTTCACCTTTTTTATGGATTTTGTAATGACTCAGAAATAGTACACTTTAATTGTGATGCAATATGAAGCAAAGGGCTGAAGACATTTCATGGGGGAAGCACACAACAATAAATTCAGTTTTAATCCCATTTATGAGTAAGGAGATATCTGCCAGGCAGCTTTTCATTTCTAGGTCAATATAATGGAACATACCATCACAGCTTGGCAGGGGGCGACTCCACTGAAAATTGGGTTCACACTCTAAAGGCTCCATGTCACTCAGTGTGTACCCAGCATCACAGCTAAATGTCACCAAAGCACCCACATAGAAGTCATTGCCGTGGCGCTGTCCATTGACAGGTATACCAGGATCCACACAGTGATCCGACTGTAGCTGCAGAGCTGGAAAGGAAGGGGAACATGGAAAGAAAATAGGGCATAAACAACACATAATCAAAACCCATACACAAAACCCCTAAACTGCTGCTGCTTGCAGTACAATTAGGCTTATAGCATTGTGTTTTCAATAGGTCAAGAGATCCTGAAAGGCACATTTCTTTCTATAAGTCAGCCCAGATAAATAATTCACTGAATTTCTCTTTTCACCAAGAACCAATAGGATTTTTCATAGGTCTTTTCCACTCCACCTTGCATAGTTTGTAGAGCAGCAGTGGTGAATAATTGAAGCTTAGCAGAGATTTACCCACAGAGAAGGTGCAAAAGGTTACCAGTGTGTGCCACATAGGTAGAAATGAAAGTAGCACTGCCTTGAGCTATGATTCACATTGTGGCTGAAGACTGCTTTAAGGGGAAGAAGTGTATGTGTGAATATTTGAAAGCATGCAACAATGCTTTATGCATGTCTCTCATATACATGGCACTAAGTAATTTGCTTTCTAATTATATGCATATTTTATAGGAATGGATTTATGTAAAACCCAGAACATAAGGAGATTATCTCCACAGCTAAAAAGAGGGTTTCACAAGTCCAGAGAACAGCTCCCTCTTGTTTGACCTTTCTGTCCGTAATGAATTCACTTCCATCATGCTCTGTCAAGCATTTTATCTGGATGCACATTTGAATTTGCATCACCAAACTGTGTTGGCCCTTACTTTCGTAACGTATACGAAAACCAATGTCAGAGTGACTCTTGTCAGTGGTGAAGAGGAGATAGATAAAGTTGGAGGTGCTGATGAGGAACTGGGGAACTTGGGTTCCTTGGTAACTTCCAATTAGAGGTGAAGAGGGAAACCGTCCATCCCGCACCTCCAGAACATCGTAGTTGACCTCAGTGCGAAACCTGGAACAAAAGGCAGTGCACATTTTTCAGCGTACATGATTCAAAATAAACGGCAAAAAACAAACAACTTAAAAATAAACTGAGTTTTCAAATAAACAATTATGTGAGTCAATAAAACAAAGTTAATAGTCATATTTATATGATTCATCCTGATCAATTCTGGGACTGAGCTAATATATATATATATATATATATTTATATATATATATATATATATATTTTTTTTTTTATATATATATATATATAAAGGCAAAACTGAATACAAATGTATGCAGCTTCTCAGTTCAGCAAATTACAGGGAACATTAAAGTTATACAAGCTTATTTTGCACTGTAGTCAATAAAATAGTGTGCTACAGGTAAAAAAAAAATACAGAAGTCCAATGCTACTTTACGGTTCAACTTTCACAGACTCAATCTTTTGTGGTTTTCCAACATTTGTCAACTTTAATACTCAAGTGATTGTAATGGGAAGAGGTAAAAAGTTAATGAAAAAATAGTTTGGACAGGCACCATGATTTAGTAGTTTTCTTTAAATAAGCTTAAACTGTAAGGCCAGTCAAAAAAAAAAAAAAAAACTACACTACCCAGAAGCCAATAGTGCTTCCGGCCACTGCTTTCTTGTAGTTTTTTTCAATAATTCTACACTGTATCACTGGTCAAAATAACTACATTTCCCAGAAGACAACAGTGCTTCCAGCCACTGCTTTCTGCCAAATGTAGGGAAAGTTTTGCAATGCAAATCTACGCTATCTATTAAGCTGACAGAACTGTCAGGAAAGTCACAAATTATCCTGAAGCTTCCCGAAGCTCAATTATCCACGCCCACATGAACCTGGACGGGGCGGTGGGCTCCATCGCTGCAGGGTAGATCTACCAAACCAGAACCGAGTTGGACCGGAACAGAGCTGATGTTCTGCAGAGCTGGTGAGGAAAATTTTGCAGTACTGTACAGTACATGTATTATATTGTTAAAATGTCATAGGTTAAAGAGTTTAGAACATTGTAATAGTGTGGGAAGGGTTTACAAAGCCTTAAAATATATATGCATACTACAAAGTAAAATAATAATAGTGTTGCTACTTTGCAATTTTTCACCTATCGCAGGGGTTGTGTGGAACGTAACCCCCACAATAATCGAGGGACTGCTATAAAACAATTTTACCTCTCTAAAGAGAATGTAACCAAAAAATGCTTGTCTGCAACTTTTTAACTATTGTTTGTGACATTTTGCATATTTATCCATATCAATAAGATTGGTGAATGCTGAGAAATTTCTAGAATTGTGACTTTAGTGAGTTCATACATGTGTACTCTTGTGCTTGTGTGCATGCATAAGTGTGTTCACGGCTGTGTGTGCGTGTGTGTGTTTTCTGGCTTTGTTGCTAGAGCAACTTCATCTTCAAAGCCATGAATAAATAGCTTGGTTACAAATCCATGTCATCTAAATGAAACGGTTTGTAATATTTTATTGATGGTACATAAAAATTAAAGAGCAACAAACATTTATGCTACATTCATTTTGCATGGCGTGCAACCACAGCAGGAACTGAGAGGGTTTGCAAGGATCAGCTTTGCTGAAAACATTGATGTTGTGTTTGATCCTACAACTGTCTGTCTATCTCTTGTCTGTCTCTAAACATTGTGACAAATCATCTCCTCCTCCATCCCTGCAGTCCCCCGTGTGTGCCAACACAAAAATGTGTGTGAATAATTGAGGGGTTGGGTATCAAACCATGTTTAAGAACAAACTGCGGAGTAGAGAAACCACCTCACAGTTCACAAAGCCCAAAATAATAATCACTATTTTGCCAGTACCAGAAACGTTCTTCATTCATGCCCTGAAATATTCCAACTTGTTTTACAATTGTAAAGACTTACCTGAAGTGCTACATTTGACAATTTGATGGGCAATCTAGCAAAGATTCATAAATTTGTACTTATTGTATAGGGTTTATCCTAATGGCCTTAATTGGTAGAAATAGAGTTTGTGTCTAACGGGGTAATGGCTAAGCCAAAGAGGACCAATACCAAAGTTCATTGTTCTCATCTTAAAAAAAAAATAAAATAAAAAAATAAAATAAATCATAGCAGTTTACGTGACATCTATGAAATTTAGAAGACTGAAGTTATTGCGGTGGTAAACATTCACATTTCAAGTAGGGCAGCTTGGACTATATTCACAAGCTAATATTCAACAAATATGGACCCAGTGGACCATCTCCAAATGCTGATTCTTTGTTGTCTTAAAAGCTCCAGTCCTCAGAATTTCATAGTTGTTCATTGAAATGCCATCACTTTACCTTATGCAGAGTTATCAGTTTTGCTATACTTGGTCATTCCAGCAGAAAGACGATACAGTAGTCCCTTTCTACTACGCGGTTCGACTCCTGCGGACTCTCTCTATCGTGGTTTATGGATGTACAGTCCATACATTGGACAAAAACATGTACAAGACACACAATTGTGGACCATACAGTAATATCACTGTACTCATGTGGTTGTGAAAAAGTTAATGACAAAAAATAATAATAATTTGGACAGGCGCTACCATTTTGTAGTTTTCTTTCATTTAACCTCCACTGTACTGTAATCACCACTCATTAGGACTACACTGCTGTGCTGTACTGTAGTGCCTCCGGCTGCCGAACAGTATTTTTGCAAAGCAAAGTCATGACTGCTGAACCGTCCTTTCAAATGTAAAATTCATGTCACATGGAAAAGTTGTATTAAGAAAATCAAATTTTACAAACATAAATTTCACAAGAAAGTGTAAATTGTATAAATCATGTTTTTTTAAGAAACAAGGAATTGCACTTAGTAACTCAGGAGCTGATTGGCTCAGAAACCGTCAGCTCTGTTTTTTCCGGCAGCAGATTGGCTGTTAACGTCTGTTTATTTTTGCTCTTTTTCAGCTAAACTTCAAGTGTTACTACTGCATTATAACTCCTAAATGTTATGTGCATTCAAAAGTTTCTGACAGAGAACTGAAATGCCAGAAAGGCTTTGTAACCAAAATGCTAAGTAACACAGCCGCTGGCTCAGTTACTGTCTGTTTACCTGCGGGGGGACAAATCCGAAGCTGGACCCTCGACCACCTGGTTCAACCACTGAACCACTGCATTTAGTGCCAGCAAGGGATGGTTTGACAAATTTCAAAAGCATATGGATTAAAAATGTGTCTCTCTGCACAAAGACGCTGCGTCTGCTGACACAATAGGAGCGGAAGAGTTTGTTAACACAGTGTTCAAAGATCTGATTGTTGAGGGAGTCTACAGGTCTGAACAAGTTTTTAACGTGGATGAAACTGGCCTGTTCTGGAAAAGGATGCCATCTCACACTTTTAATGTGAACGACAAAGCCAAAGACCTTGCTTTCATCTCATCTCTTTCATTATCATGACTGGACAGCCATATCTTCTCCATATCTTCTTCATCTTCAACTTCTCCGGTGTGTATCCATTTAAATTAATATAACTTTTAAAGGTTTAAGAATTTAGAAAATTGTTATGAAACATTGCAAGATTGTGGGAAGGGTTCAAAATGCAAATATATATATATATATATATATATATACACACTAAAATAAACTACTACTAGAACTACTATCCCTACTTCACGGTTTTCTACTTATTGCAGAGCAGCTGGAAACAGAAGCATCGTGATAAACTAGGGATTAATGTATTCTATTGTCCAATTCGGTCTTTGCTGTGTTTGGACTAGCTATTAGCTCTTTGGTCCTGTCAGATATTAATTATTTTTTTTATCCAAGTTGAGTTATCTACAACAGACAAGATAATATGTATACCCACTTCAAAATTTCAAAAGTATTTATTTACTTAATATTAGATGATGTCATAATGTTTTGGCTCTATAGCATGCATCCATGTAAATGAGATGATTGCACGGTAACAAATTAAAATGAATAAATAGGTTACAGAAAGTTTGTAAGTAAAGACATGACAAAGAGGTGAATTGTTGAAAATGTGCAATAAAAGCTGAAAGCAAAAGGAAACCAACTGTTTTGAGATAGTAAAACAGTCAGCCATTAAAACAGTTGCTATCTTGGTGACTCACTTGTCGAAGATGATCTTGATGGGGTAGCCTGGAGGAGCCTCAATGATCCATTCACAGTTAAGGGCCTCCTTGTATAGTTCTGGCCAGCCGGGGGAGAGAATGATCCCACTGGGAGCCTTCAAATCCCCACCGCATGGGGCTAACAGCAGGAGAGAAGAAATACAGAGAGAGAAAGACACACAGCAGCTGAATAAAGCCCATCTGTCCCATGTGATGTATGACAACATCTACTGATGTATATA